CCCCAAAACCCCAAAACCCCAAAACCCCAAAACCCCTTTGACAACTCTATCAGTTGAATTTAAATTAAATAAGAACTATTTAAAATGGAAGAAAATACAAAAGATCCTGATTGGAAGAGCAAGCTCAAGGTCCTAACTGGAATTCCCGTGATTAAAGGTAAATCTTTATTTTCATATACTTGAGATATTGTCTAATTTTGAAAATTTACAATAAAATTTTAGCCTACTCTTTTCAAACAGGCCATCCTAGCTCAAACAAACATTTAGAAAAGAATGCAAAGCCAAGATTTCCTACCTTAGACATGTCTGAAAATGGGGAAAGTCAAGTAAAGATAGAGGACCAAGGGAATTTCATCATTCATGAAACTCCTAGAAGCTTGTCTGAAAATAATACAACCCCTCAAAAAGTTGAGGAATCGAAGCAAAGGCATCTATTTTATATGAAAAACATTCACATAGATGATCAAGACCTCAGCAACCTTAATGATAATGACTACCTTAACTTTTATAATAACGATCAGATCAATGTGGACCCGAGGGAAGAATTACGGAATTTATTATGTCCATCTGCTAATCCTGTCTCGTTAAACTCAAGCAAAGGCTTACCAGATTTAGCTCTTGAGACATACAATTTCAACCAATCCTATGTAGAAGGAGACTCACAGCGGTCTTATGATCTGTTTGCTGATAATGTTGAAGAAAATATGCTTACCACGTTCATTGTTAAGGACACTTCTCAAGAATCTTTAACAGAACGTGAGCCAGAACCTCCAGAAAAATCACCCTTAGCTCAAGAAAATCAGATGCTCAAAGCGAAGGTGGCGTTTCAAAATAAAGTGATATCAATCCTCAAAGAGAAGGTATCTGACCTGAACGTAGTAAAAGACTTGCGATCACAGCTGAAAGCAACCACTGAAGAGAATGGGTAATTATCCTCCTCTAATTCTTTAGAGCACTTAAAGAGAAATATATTCAAGCTAAAGAAGAATCTATCAAAAATCTTGAGTAAGCCAAATTACTGAGTAAACAGCAATAATCATAATATGCTTAAATAACTCTTAGAGGTTAGACTTTGATGTAATGAGGGTTATAAGAATTATGAAGATTAGCCCTGATGATTCTCTCCTGTTGGTATATCTCAAACTTGCCAAGTAAATAACTCTAGATCGACTTCTCCTAGATTTAATACTAGAATTTGTATGTTTCATGATCCAAGTTACTTCCTCACTTATCTATTCCAAAGTAATTAGAGAGTATTTATTTTAGTTCTGTTTTAAACTATATTAACTTCCCTTTTCGAATTAACTTTAAAAGGCTTTTACACTCACAAATGAAAAAGGACCAAGAGAACATCAGCATTAAGAATAAGCTCTAGAAGAAAGAGTTGAACAGCTTGAGAGCATTAAAAGAAAACTCGAAATTGAGCTTGATAATAAAACTAATGTAAGTAATAATTTGGTAATCTCTTTAAGTTCCATCAGAATTAGATCGTGAGATTTCTTATTTACAAATTTTCGAAATGGTTTTCCAGTTTTAGTAATGCCAATGAGATAATATTTGCTATTTTGATCAGATCCAGGAGGATTTATGTTGTCTAATAGCATCAAACCTATGGAGGCAAGTTCATACATATATTTTCTATCTATGCACATAAAATGACATGGATTTGTATTTAGTAACCTCAAAATCATGGCTTTATTACTAATGCTCATATAGCTCATGCCTCGCTCGATCAAAATATCTTCCCCGAGGCAGATTTTTCTTCAAGATTCACAGAAAGGAATCGGTAACACCAGTTCGAAATCTCTCTTTGGCAAAAAGTGGTCTCTTGCTTCAAAGAAGGAGGTTGATCCTGATACACAAATTCTCCATCAATTCTTGATAACTTTGAACAAAATGCTGAATGACTTCAAATATCCTGACAGGATAAACTCGATCAAAAGTAAACTTTTCAAGAACAATTGGAAAGTCAAGATTAATGATATGGACCAGAATGAGATCCTAGCATCTATTGTTTGAAGAATATCAGCTCTGATTAAAGCATGAGAAAAAATTTCCAGGTGACATCCAAATAAGAATAAATCCATAAAACCTAATTTGAGCTCAAATCGGACTCTGGGGGATAATTATGAGACCAAAACAAGCGCTCTCTCTTCCTACCTCACAAACCCAATTTACAGTCCTCCAAAAACCATATATCCAAAATCTCACCTCTAAACATTCAAAAAATGTCCAAAAACTCTAAATCCCCCTCCTTCCGCTCATACCAGAACTACAACCTAAAAATAATCAACAAATCGAAACCAAAATCCAAAGCCAGTCACCCCAAAAAGGTCACTCTAAAATACTCCCGCAACAAGCCTGCCCCTGGCACCTCTGTCACCTCCAAGCGTGTCTCCAAATCCACCACTGAGGTAAACTCCATCGACGAAAAACACCGTAAGCCCAGAATAGAGAAGTTCGCACACATAAAGAAACTAGAGAAGATCCCTAGCAATATCTGAATGAAGCTTAGCCTGAAGAAAATGCAGAAGAGCAAGCAGAGTACTAAGAAGAATTTGAAGTAGAGATTTTAGGAAATTAGGCTTTCAATTGGTTCAGTCTTGGCTGGGGTTTTGGGGTTTTGGGGTTTTGGGGTTTTGGG